TAACAATAATTAAAAAATGCAATTTAAAAATACATAAATTATTCAGTGTCAAATTATGGTCCTCCGAGGGCTAGAGGCTGGCGGAGATTTTAAAGTCGCCGGTGCTCCTCCCCAGCCGCGCAGGTGAAGCGGCTGAGGCCGCTCAGCTGGTCCTCCGAGGGCTGCTGGGTGACCAGCAGTCCTCCGCGGCTTCAGGGACGCCGCCGCTTGCTGCGTGGTGCCGGCGGAGATGGTGTCAGGCTCCCTTTCTCCATCTCCATTAGATGGTGTCTAACTGCTCCCTTTCTCCATCCCACAAATTTTTACCTGTCAGCTATTTTCTATACCTTACTCTACAGGCTTCTCCATACCACTCAGTGCACTCCTCTCTCTGTATCACTCTCTGTTGGTGAACTTTTTCTTTCCTAGCTTACATAATTCCAGTTTTCCCCTCTCATTTTTCAGTCTGTATTTTTGTTATTTCTCTCCCATTTTCTAAGTCTGCCCCAAATCTCACTGCTAAATTAGGCATCCATAGTATTCAAGGCACTCATCCTCCCAATAAATTTTAGCAGTAAAGGAGTCTTATGATGAAAGTGGGAATGCATCGTGTCTGGACAAATACAATACTACTACATAAGGGTGGGGAGGTGGGGAATATTCAGTTTTTCTCACCATTTTAAAAAAGTAGACATGTTATAGTTGTTGGGTTTTGGGTTTGTTTTTGCTTTTGCCCTAATGAATTCACATGGGCCTAAATTCAGTTGTGAATCCCAACTAGAGTTAGCCCACTTAATCAACAAAACTTACTTTAGACTTGACTTACCAAGTTCCCACTGACTGCACTGAATTTAAGTTGAGAGTAATAACTGTATTTAGTTCATGATATCCCTATATTGAAATCCTATGATCAATGTGAACAAGTTACAACAGTTCATCTGCTTTTATAAAGAAAAGAGCACAGTTGTCCCTTAACATTTGCAGATTTGACTTTTGCAGACTGGATTATTCACAGATTGTGAGTGTTTCCACTTTCATGGGGGCCCTGTGCCCCTAACTAGCAAATATGGAGGGACCACTGTACTGGAATTTCACAATATTTTGTAGAAGTGACTAAACATATATCCGTGTGGAAACAAAGGTCTCTTTCACACTAGTATTCTGATACTCCTTTGATATCATCCCTCCAACTGAGAACTGCAGTTCCATGAGACATTTTGAGTTCTCTGTGCCTCACCAAACTACAAATCCATAGGCTGAACCACGGCAGTTAAAGTGATATCAAAGTGCTATAACTGTATAATATGAAAGAGATGAAGGTCTACACATCCGCATCTACTGTATCTGATTGGGACCCATTATGTGATCTCAGGAAATTTTCCTTATTTTAATTTAAGCATACTTTCACTTATTAGATACCTATCAGTGCTCTTTCAGTATCATTAGAAGGATTAAGAGAATCAAAACAAAAAGAAAATCCTCTATACAGGGTAACAGCAGCTATTCAGCAAGTAACTGTCTCTTCACCTGTTCAAATATAATACAAAGGGTTTGCAAGACTTGTGGTCCTATGAGTAACAATGCAGATGACTAAGAGATGAAATGTGGTGAAATCACTGTAATCCTCCCTAAATTTATGGAAAAGGCAGGCTACAAATAGTAAATCAGTACACAAAGGCTACAATCCCATATACATTTACTTTATATACAAGCAGGCATGAAAAAGACTGTGCTGTAATACATCATACTTACATTCTGTATTAACTAAGGAGAAAGCCATTGTGGTGTAGTGGTTTTGGCACTGGTCTAGGACTCTGGAAGTCAGGGTTTGATTCCCTGCTTGAGCATAAAAACCCACAGGGTGACCTTGGGCAAGCCACACTCTCTCAGCCTTAGAGGATGGTAATGGAAAACCCTCTCTGAAGAAATATGACAGGTTTGCCTTAGAGTTGACATAAGTCAAAAATGACTTGGAGGCATATAACAACAACAAATTAAATAACGAAACCTATTACAATGCTTCTTCTTAAGCTATCTGATGTGACAGGCTAGCAGTTCTTCCCAATGTGCTAGTAGAGTGTACTATACCTGTGCCACTGGCTATAACTGTTTTGTTTCTGGAAACTCACAGTAGAGCTGTAACAGCACTGGTCTTTGGACTAGTACTGTAATTTGATCAGTACTGAGTGCCAGCCAGGTCACTTTATAAGGAAGCAAAACTGTTTAAGCATTATACCTACCATACAGCAAACTCAATATTATTATTCTGTTGTTGTTGTTATTTCTTAACTGCCTCTCCCCAAGGCTCAAGGTGGGAAGTAACACAGATTAAAATACATCATCATGCTGCCTTTCTCCCAGTACAGGGACTCAGGATGGCCCTGTAAATATTAAAATAGTGACCCCTTGGTACACTGGGGTTTGATTCCAGGACCCCTGCAGATACCAAAATCCGTGGATACTCAAGTCCCATTAAATGCAATGGCATAGACAATTGGTCTTGCTTATATAAAATACCAAAATCAACATTTGCTTATTGGAATTTATATATATATATTTGGAATATTTTCAAGCCGTGAAGGCTTGAATCCGTAGATAAAAAATCCGTGGATATAGAGGGTCAACTGTACAATATATAACAAAGCACATGAATCCATTTAAACACATGTTAAAACACACAAACATAGTATGAAGATGACCATTACATATTAAAATAATCCAGACATAAGTTTTTTAAAAAATTAAAAAATATACCAATTTTAAAATTATAGTTTAAAACTGACTAGGTAAGCTTGCCGGAGGAGACAGGTCTTTACTATTGTTTTAAATTTTAAATTAAATCCATAGGGGGTCCTGGACTCAAACCCCAGAGGATTATATAGGATGGAGCTGCAACACTTAAGTGATACCAAAGCACATTATTTCTAAAGTTGAAATGCACCCTTGGTGCTTTTACTTTTGCTGTTGACTCATAGCAAGTTGAGTTGATCTTGACTCATAGCAACCCTGTGGATAAGACATCTCTAAGACCACTTGTCCTCCACTACTTTTCTTAGTTCTTGCAAATTCATACCTGTAATCTCCTTGAATCTATCCATCTAGCATGTGGTTTTCCTCTCTTTCTACATTCTTCCACCTTTCCTAACATTATTGTCTTTTATATCAGTCATGTCTTCTTATGATGTGGCCAAAGTACAGCAACCTCAATTTAATCATCCTGGCTTCAGTTCAGGCTTGATGTGTTCTAGGACCCACTTGTCCCATTTGTTGTCTTTTTGGCTGCCCATGGTATCCTCAGCACTCTCCAGCACATCTCAAATGAATTGATTTTCTTCCTATCTGCTTTCTTCACTGTCCAGCTCTTGCATTGCATACATGGTGACAGGGAACGTTTTGTTTTTAATTGTATTTATACCCTGCTCTTCAGAAATGCTCTCAGAGTGGCTTTACCAATTGGTAATTAGACATTTCTAATAAATTTCTAATCACCTGAACGATTCTCACTTTGGTGCTTAGCTGCCCATCTTTACTCTTTAGGAACTTTTCTAGTTCTTTCATAGTGGTAGAATTCAAAAATATAGCCATGTTAGTCTGTAAGATCAGAATGTAGAGACATCTTTCTGCACCTTTGAGACTAAGGGGGGTTGCAGACTGCCAGAAATAGTGCAAATTGAGTCCACTTTTAGGGTTAGGGTTAGTGCTAGGGAATCATGGGAATTGTGTTTTTTTTCTGAGACATTAAGCCTTCTCTGTCAGATCTGGTGCCACAATAAAATACAGTTCCCATGATTCCTTAGCCCTAACCCTAACCCTAAAAGTGGACTCAATTTGCACTATTTCTGGAAGTCTGCAACCCCCCATAGTGAAAGAAAGAATTTGGCAGCATGTGCTTTCATAGACTTAAGTCTACTTCCTCAGATGCATTTGGACATTGGGTTTCCATGGCCAAGTGGTGATTTGAACTCTGGTCTCCAGAGTCCTAGCCCAACACCTGAACCACTATACCCCAAAGGCTTGAACTCCTGCCCCCTAAAAGCAAGTTTGTCAAGCTGTGTCTGACCGTAGGGGGCAGTGCTCATCTCCATCACTAAGCGGAAGAGTTAGCGCTGTCAGAGACTACTCTGTGATCATGTGGCCAGCAAGACTGCACAGAATGCTGTTACCTTCCCAATGAGAAGTGGTACCTGTTTATCTATTTTCATTTGCATGCTTTTGAACTGCTAAGTTGATAGAAACTGGGACTAGTGACAGGAGCTCATCCCATCATACAGCACCCGCCCCTCAAACTGCCAAACTACCAATCTTGCAATCAACAGAATCAGTGTCTTAACCACTTGAGCCATTGCACACATGTATTTATTGGCTGGGGATGGACTTTGTATTTCTTGGTGCTTGATCAGGTCTTGATAGTATGTATATATATTTGCCTTCAAGTCACCATTAATTTCATAGGGTTTTCTCAGGCAAGGAATCTTCAGAGGTGGTCTTGCTAGTTCTTTCCTCTGAACTATAGCCTACAGCAGCCCACAGCAAATGTGGAGGGACAAGTGTCTACTATATGTTGAGAGATCCTGTATCGGCTTTGAGACTAGGAGAAAAAAGTTGGCAGCATGAGCTTTTGTAGACTTAAGTCTACTTTTTCAGATAAATTTGGATATAATAATAATAACAACAACGCAAAAGACAATAATGCTGGGAAAGTAAGAGGGAAGTAGGAAGAGAAGAAGGGCACATGCTAGATCAGGGGTAGGCAACCTTTTCCCTTTAAGGGCTGAGGGACTTCAGCTCCCAGAATCCCAGGAGCTACTGGCCAACATGGGAATATTGGCCAACATGGCTGAGGCTTCTGGGAGCTGAAGTCCCTCGGCCCTTAAAGGGGAAAGGTTGCCTACCCCTGTGCTAGATGAATGGACTCTATTAAGGAGGTCATGGGTATGGGTTTGCAGGATTTAAGCAGAGGAGTGGAGGACAGGAGCCTTGGAGATGTCTCATCCATAGGGTCACCACAGGTTGAAAACGACTCAAGGGCAGTTAAATACAAAAAGAGAGATCTTGTAGCACCTTTGATACTAACCAAAGAAAGAAGTTGCAGGAATTTTCGTAGACTAAAGTCTACTTCCTTAGATGCATTCCTAGTAGACTTTAGGACTTTTTCTAATTCTTTCATAGTGATAGAATTCAAAGATATAGCCATGTTAGTCTGTAAGATCAGTATGTAGAAATGTTGCAGCACCTTTGAGACTAAGGGCCTTTGCAGACTGCCAGAAACAGTGCACATTAAATTGAGGCACTGCCCTGGCTCATTGCTAGGGAGTCATGGGAATTGTATTTTTTTTTTCTGAGACATTAAGCCTTCTCTGTCAGAGAGCTCTGCAAAGGCCCTAACTGGAAGGAAGAAGTTGGCAGCATGATCTTTCGTAGACTTCAATCTATTTCTTCAGATAGATGTGAGGAAGTAGACTTGAGTCTAGGAAAGCTCCTGCTGCCAACTTCTGTCCCTCAGTTGGTCTCAAACGCGCTACAAGATCTTTCTACATACTAGTTCTTTCATGGTTCTTCTTTTTGTCTGGTGACACTGAGTAAAAAGGGACCCTGGAAACTCTGGTGGAGGTCGGGGCTAAAGCAGAGAAGGCTAAACTCTGTTGAAAAGAGAGTAAATAAAAGCAGCAGCTCTCTCTGACCCACCATCTCCTTTCCCTTGCCACCCTCAGCCTGCCCTTTGGCACCAGGGCCATTCACACATGACGGGGAAGAGCCTGGCAGAGGCACAAGGGGAAGGAAAGGAAAAAGGGGGAAAGCAAGGGCAGCTCTCCCTGGGAAGACTCAAAAGCAGTGACCAGGGTCCAAAATACACCGCAGAAATAATCCAGTTTGAGACTGCTTTAACTGCCCTGGCTCAATGACAGGGGATTCCGGGAACTGTAGTTTTGTGAGACATTTAGCCTTCTCTGTCAGAGAGCTCTGGTGACACAACAAACTACAATTCCCAGGATTCCCTAGCACTGAGTCAGGGCAGTTAAAGCGGTCTCAAACCGGATTATTTCTGCAGTATGCTCTGGACCTATGCTTACAGAGGAGGACAAGGCACCACAAAATGGAGGACATTCAAGGGCAAAAAATGTACGACGTTACCAAACAAAAGCTAAAAACGCTAATATGGATATGAGTTCTTGCTTCTTGAGTCACGCTCAAAATGGAGGATATGAATAATTCAAGATTAGAAACACTGCCGGAAATGTAAATCCATGCTTCTTAGGCTGCGTCCACACTGCAGAAATAACCCAGTTTGAGACCGCCTTAACTGCCCTGGCTGAGAGCTGAGGAATCCTGGGAACTGGAGTTCTTTTGGACAGAGAAGACCAAATCTCTCACAAGACTAAGGGGGGTTGCAGACTGCCAGAAATAGTGCAA